AGGCTGTATACGCTCAGCATGGCTTTCTCTCTCAGCATTCATCCCATGACAGCAGAAAAGCAGGGATGCCACACTGTGCTATCCAAAGGGATTCTATCCCAGTAAAATTACTGTTACCATTCAAAAACAATTAAAATGACAATGAATAGCATCAGCAACCTGATCCTATGCCATGTTATTATTATTTAATAAGCATTTTTAGTCGTGTGCAAAGGCCCCAACCAGGAATAGGATCACATTGCACTGGGCAACATACAGCTTGTGACCTTAAAAGAGGGGTGGGCAAAGGGGATTCCGTGGGCCCACCTAGCAAGTTGACCCGCCCTGCAGAGGTCCTGCCGCTTTCCCCACCCGCCAGATCAATCAGGGGCTGGGGAGCTGGGGGGGAAGAGCGCAAAGTCTCCTCCTGCCCTACCCCTACTCCACAAGGAGCGTGCAGCGCTTAGAAGCGCCATACGCTCCTGGCAGGGTGAGAGGAGATTTTGCCCACTCCCCCTGCCCCCAAGCCCTGATTGGCCTGGGGGTAGGGGGAGTGCACAAAGTCTCCTCCCACCCTATGAGGGGCTCAGCAGTTAAAGTAAACCGCCAGCTAGCAGTTGACTCTAAGCACCGTAGTCCCTTGCAGGGCAGGGGCAAGGAGCAAGAGACTACCTCTGTGTTACCTCTCCCCAGGCCCGGATTGATCTGGAAGCACGCAAAGTCTCCTCCCACTGCCAGGGGCACAGGCACCTAGAGGAAACTGCCAGCTGTTCAGAACAGCTGGAGGACTTTTGTGCTCCCCCAACCCCAGACCAGGGGAAACACGGAAGTATCTTGGCCCTGTCCCTTCCGGCCTAAACCTCCCTTGCTGCAATTTAATCCCATTGCTTCTTGACCTATCATCAGAGGCCAAGAACAATTTATCTCTCTCCTCCTTGTAACGCCCTTTTAGGTACTTGAAAACTGTAATCATGTCCTCTCTCTGTCTTCTCTTTTCCAAAATAAACAAACCCAATTTTTTCAGTCTTCCCTCATAGGTCATGTTTTCTAGACCTTTAATCATTTTTGTTGCTCCTTGCTAGACCTTCTCCAATTTCTCCACATCTTTCTTGAAATGTGGTGTCCAGAACTGGACACAATACTCCAACTGAGACCTAACCAGCGCAGAGTAGAGCAGAAAAATGACTTCTCATGTCTTGCTCACAACATTCCTGTTTAGGGTTGCCAGGTGTCTGGTATTGACCCGGACAGTCCGGTATTTTCACCTCCTGTCTGGTTTAAAAAAAAAAAAACAATCAGAAAATACTGGACACCTAAAATGTTGGGTATTTTCTGATTTTTTTTCCTGGTCAGGGGGCGAAAATACCGGACACCTGGCAACCCTATGCAATATATATTTCCTAAATATCAGCAGTTTAACAACACTTGCTTAGTGCAGTATTCTATCTTATGATATCTGGCGATATATGGGTGGGCCCCGCCCCTGCCTGCCTGGGTGTAGCATTGCAAACAGCTGCCTCTCAGAAAGGCATACATAGGGCGTACTGAGCATGCTCAGTAAGAGCTGCTGTTGCTGCTGCCCTCACTATGCTAAATTTTCTCCCTCCTCGGGATACCCTTTTAGATACCTGAAAACTGCTATCATGTCCCCTCTCAGTCTTCACTTTTCCAAACTAAACAAACCCAGTTCTTTCGGTCTTCCTTCATAGCTCATGTTCTCTAGACCTTTAATCATTCTTGTTGCTCTTCTCTGGACCCTCTCCAATTTCTCCACATCTTTCTTGAAATGTGGTGCCCAGAACTGGACACAATACTCCAACTCAGGCCTAATCAGCGCAGAGTAGAGCAGAAGGGTGACTTCTCGTGTCTTGCTCACAATATTCCTGTTAATGCATCCCCAAATCATGTTTGTTTGTTTGTTTTTTCTTTTTTTTGCAACAGTGTCTGTTGACTCATGTTTAGCTTGTGGTCCACTATGACTCTTAGATTCTTTTCTGCAGTGCTCCTTCCTAGACAGATTCCTTGGGCTCAATTGCAAATCAAGCCAGGAGAGGCTATTCATTTGCATCAGGCAAAAGCAGGGAGACTATTTGCATTGTAAAATTAAAGTAGATTGCAAAAATTAACATGGTGTCAGGTCCCTAGGAGACTCAGCAAGATGAGCCTTCCAGGGGGCTTCCTGATGTCACGGGGCAGTTCTTCCTTCCCCCGTCCGAGGGGAGTAGGGTCCCGTGTCCCTAGGCTACCTGAACCCACAACATGCCACACACAACCAGTAAACAGGGCGAGCTCGAGCCATTCCTGCGTCCTGGGCAGCGGGCGTGCGACGCATGCGCAGCTCCGCCCTGGGCACATGGCGCATGCACAGCCCCACCCCCCAGCGTGCTGTGCACCTTAGAGCAGCAATCAGGCACGCAGTGCCTGATTACAGCTCTAAGGGGCACCGCACAGCCCCCGGCCTCAGGCGCACGGCGCCTGGTTGCAGCTGTAAGGGGCACTGCGCAGCCGGGCGCATGGCGCCCCTTACAGCTGCCATCAGGCACCCCCCCCCATAGGTTGGTGCCCTGGGCAGCTGCCTGGATAGCCCCCCCTTAATCCAGCCCTGCTGCTAAACCACCTGTAGTCTGGCCCCTCCCCTCGGTGCTGAACAGCCCAATGGCCAGAAGCAGTAAACCCCAGTCTAACACTGGCCTTTTACGGCAGGGCTGGATGTCCCAATGGACGGAGTCAGTAAAGCAAAGTCACTTGTAGGCCCTGTGAAGCAAGGCTGGGTGGCCCCATGACCAGAGTCAGTGAGTCAAAGTCGGTCACCAGCCTCTTTAAGGTAGGGCTGGACAGCCCAATGGCCAGAGTCAGTAAACCACAATCTAACACTGGCCCTTTAAGGCAGGGCCGGATGGCCCAATGAACCAAGTCACAGGGGTGGGGGCTTAGGGGGACCCAGGCCCACCCTCCTCCACCGGGTCCTGGCCCAGGACCATGTGAGTGGCAGGGCAGCCCACCACTCCCTTGGCAGGGAATCCAACTGAAACATGCCGAGGATCTCTGGGTGGGAGAGGCCACTTCTGCACCCCCCCTGGGCCACTTCCTACCTGATCCAACCGGCCGACTTCCCACGTAGTCACTGGATCTTCTGACTCCTTGGGGGCCTCACTTCCCTGGTGCTCTGCAGTGGTTAGGTCCCAACTGGCATCGGAGCCTCCACTGCTCTCCTCTCAGGCAGTTTGGTTGGTGGTGGTGGCGGCGGTGGCTGTTGCTGCTCTGGGGCCCCAATCTGAGGCCCTTCTCCTCTGACTGCCAGCGGAGACTGAGCCTCTTCCCAGGCTTTTATACCTGAGCTATAGTCTGAGCATGCTCGGCAGGGCTGCGGGGGCTGGGCCCCTTTAGCCAGAGTAACCTGGCTAAGCCCTGTTAATTCAGTGTGGGCTGGTACACCCCATCACACTGACTTTGAAAACCAAGATAAATGTTGACAGTATAAAGAACTGCTGAAAGTCTTTGAGATGTCCATCATATGGGCCTTGTCCACACTAGCACTTTTATAATTACAATTTTTGTCATTCAGGGGTGTGAAAAAAGTTCATTGGCGAGAGTTACACTCCTAACGACAAAGCTACCGGCCCTTGTTGGAGGTGATCTTACTTTGACACTGGGAGAGCTCTCTTTCCCATGGCTAACGAGTGGCTATACTGTACACCTTACAACACTGCTGTGAGCAGGCTGCTCAGGGTAGGGATCTAAGCCAAAGCTACACACCATAGAAGCACCCAAGGTTATAGGACAGGTGATGATACAATCCTTTACTGGTCAGGGTGAACCCCCAAAGTGTCACACAGACAAAGACAATAATTCTGCCATGGAGGACTTATAACAGCTAATGTGCAAATTGATTGATGACCTCTCCAAGATCCTTCCAGTTCTATGATTCTATGAAATACTTATCCATGTGCTTAGCTTCAAGGAGGTTTGTGATCCCCCTTTAATTCAACTTAAGCATATGGCTGCAGGATCAGGGCCTAATCTAAAATGGCTCTAGAATTCCACGTATATTGAAAATTATATTAACAATGAAAGCTACCATGGGGTTTCTGGTCCTGCTTGTAGACAACAAGGATCTGTAGGTAAGTGTGTGATCCTGGTCTAGCAATAGCCAGTCTGTAGACAGCCAGTAAGGTCAAGTGCATTGTGCCTCTCCATATTCAGGGTGTTTTACTCCAAAACCAAATTGATCTGAGAGCCTCTTCCACAAAATTACTAAAACAACAAGGAGCAGAAAGTTTTTAAAGTTTTGTAAAAAATTCACAAAGCCATTCCCTTTCTGATTCATTTCTTAGATTGAACTGATGCCTTTTGTTTAAAAAACATCAGATAGGCACATAATGTTCTTTAGAATCTCTATTCTGTGTTTACACTCTTGCTCATAAGGGTCTTGTGAAAAAGACAAATCTTTAAGCACCCTAATAGTATGTCTACACTGGAGTGTTTTTCCGGAAAAACAGCCATTTTTCCAGAAAAACTATACTTACGTCCACACTGCTATTGCGTTCTTTCAACAGAAAGTTGAAAGAACGGAGGGGGTTTTCCAACAGCAGTAAACCTCTTTCTACAAAGAAAAGCCTTTTTCCAAAAAAGCTTTTTCGGAAAAAGATATGTGTGGATGCAGAAGAGGGAATTCTTTCAAAACGAGAGGCCTCCAGGTGTCCTGGTGGCCACTCTGTCCATACTAATCACAACTTAAATGAGAGATAATGGGAGACAATCAATCTGGACGCTATCTTTCAAAAAAGCACATTGCTTTTTCGTTGCGCTTTTGTTGTGTGGATGCTCTCTTTCGAAATAAGCTTTTCCAGAAGAGATCTTCTGGAAAAGCTTCTTCCGAAAGAAGCTTGCAGCCTAGACATAGCCTAAATTAGGGGTTCTCCCACCAATTTTAGAAAAACAGTCCTTTGTTCATCAGTATCTTCTTTAGCATTCACAGACAAATACTGCTCAAGCCTGAGTGTATGTTACAAAATCTTCCTTTTCTTCTTTAAATTAGAAACTGCCCAAATTGCCGTATGTAGCACCTTTATCTTTTCTCTTTCCTAACTCTCTCTAATACCATTCTCATTACCAGTTTTCTCTGTCATGTTCATGACATGCACATAGAAATTAACTTAAAAGCATACAGCGCTCTTGCTGAAAGGTTGCAACATAAAAGTACTTTATTCCTTAGCATTCAGAATAACACACAAGAACCCAAAACACAGAGAGACAAAGCAAACTGATCTCAAAAGCACAACTCATTCCCACCTTACTCTAGCTAGGTGGGCTGCCTGCAGACTGATGGGTGCTAGACCGAGAACACACACATCTCCACTGAGCTCCCTAGCTTGCTTGCAAATTTGTAATAGTTTTCAACATGCAACTGACCAAACATAGTGCTAATCACAGGGTGATTTGTTTCCATCAAAGTCAAACCCTTCTGAGCAGATCACTAAATTCACCGGGAGACTTTTTTTTTTTAATGTAAATTTCCAGGTCATGACAGCAATAAGACACTGAAAGCAGCACATTCCTGAATGATTATAGCCACTTGATATGTGCAAAGACAATTTATATATCACGTGTTAAATGCTTTGTGAACTCTTGTCTATACAACATTAGAGTTATGTTTTCTTTAGATCAAATGTCTCAAACACCCGGCCCACAGGCTATCCGCAGGCTATCCCCAGTTGTGCAATCTGACCTTGAGATCCCAGGTAGCGGGGGCAGGGGAGACCCTGTCCATTCCTGTCCACTAAGCCCCACCCTTTCCCACCATCAGCTCATCCTCTCCCCCCATAGAACTCCATCCCCCAAGGGACACATCCTCCCTGGCATAGGGTGGCAGCAGTGGTCAAGCCCTGCACTCCCTGCGGTGGCAGAACTGAATCTAACTCTGTGGCTTTTCATACTCACTGCCTGTATTTTTCCTCACATTCTTGGTTTTAGAAGAGGCAATAAAAGAACCCTAACAGATGGTGCAGTCTCCTACCTGACTTCTACATTCCTTACACAATTCTACTTCTTCTTTAATTAGGATGAATGCTTAGACCTTTTGCTTCATTTCAACAGTGAGAAATGCCCTTTGCTCTCCACATCCTTATTAATGATGAATATTTCAGCATCCTGTGTTGTCTACTGTAGATAAACTGGAGTGACGGAGAAGCTGGGGAGCAGCTGTTATTGTAGAACAAGTGAGTTCTAATTTGCCACGCTCTGTCCTGATTTACAAGGCATAATGTTGAAACACCTCACCTGTATGATGCAGGTGCTTCAACATTATACCATGTAAATCAGGAAAGGCTGCATGTATGTGCTGTGGGATTCACTTTGGAACCAGCCAGATACTATTGTCATTTGGATCTATCTCAGAGACTGCAGCTATTGTGCAAGGATCAAGCTTAAACACTCACAAAGCTTGAATTGAAGCCTACCTTAACCAACTTATTGTTATTCATTCTGTGTCATTCATTGTCAGTCACTCTGATGGTTTCCTTGGATCATGGCAATTTTGCCAGGAATATGCTTTTCATGTGAATATTGCACCAGCAATCCCACAGAAAGAGCCTGCATGAAAAATTCATTTACCTCAAATCACTGCAACAGCTATTTTACCAAAGAAGTGCCTCTGCGCTCACCTAGTAGAAGCCACAGATGGGATGTTTAAGGCAGGCAGCTGCAAAAACAGAAAGACATCTGAATACGTGATCTGTTCAGATATCTCAAGTAAAAAAAAATATTTGTAGTAACTCCAGATTAGCCACTTAATTGACACTTACAGTACGCAATTTCCTCCTTCCTTGTCTCTTCCTCATCCCCTCACCCCCACCTTCTATTCTATGTAGCTGATTCGATACTGTATAATTTGTTTACTGCTTCTTTGTATTCCTTTGTTCTATACGGTCATGCCAATTTACTTTCAGAATATAATATGAAGAAGTAGGTCTGCCCCCATGAAAGCTCATCACTTAATAAACTGTCTTGTTAGCCTTTAAAGTGCTACATGACTGCTTTTTTTGTTTTACCAAGATCAGACTAACATGGCTACCTCTCTGTTACTTTTTATAGGCAGCAGCAGCGGGTGCCCTAGGCGGGGCGGCGCAATCGGCGCCCTTGCCTGCATGGCCGTCAATAGCCGTGACATCATCTTCGGGCGCCCGGGGCAGCGGCGTCCTAGGCAACTGCCTAGCTCTCCTAGGCTCAAGGGCCACCCCTGATAGCAAGTCACTATTGTCTACCAAATTCTTTAGCAATTTCACTAATAGCATTTGAAGAGGGTCCAGTGGAGGGCAACCAAAATGATTAGTGCTGCGCGGGGGGGGGCGGGGGTTAAAGATTTGGCCTTGTTTAGTCTGCAGAAGAGAAGAATGATGGGGGCCTTCAAGTACCTGAAGGGAGGTTTCAAAGAGGATAGAGTGAGGCTGTTCTCAGTGGTGACAGATGGAAGAACAAGGAGCAATGGTCTCAAGTTACAGTGAGGGAGGTCTAGGTTGGATATTAGGAAAAACTATTTCACTAGGAGGGTGGTGAAGCACTGGAATGGGTTACCTAGGGAGGTAGTGGAATCTCCATCCCTAGAGGTTTTTAAGTCCTGGCTTGACAAAGCCCTGGCTGGGATGATTTAGTTGGGGTTGGTCCTGCTTCAGGCAGGTGGCTGGACTCAATGACCTCCTGAGGTCTCTTCCAGCCATAGGATTCTATAAGGCTATTTTCCAGAATGGAAACACACACTGGAAAGGAAGGGGTTAAAGGGTTTTTCTGAATTCACATAGCCCTACCCTGCCATGCTTGAACTGGCTGAAAGAGGACCTTAAAAGTGGAGTACAATATTTCAATAGCTGGCTGATTATGCCAGTGAACTTCCTGCACTGGGAAGGAGCATCACAGGAGCTCTTGCTGCTTGAAGCCCAGCTGTGGTGACCTTACCAAGCCAACAAAGCTGGGACCTTTGACTCGCCAAAGATTAAAGACTTTATCTTTATGTTCAGCTCTGAAAGCTTTACTTGTTGGGAAGAGATCAGATTGGTAGGAATTAGGACTGCCAATTGATTGACAAAATTAATTACACTCTTCAACCATAAGAGAATACCATTTATTTAAATAAATGTGGGTGTTTTCTACATTTTCAAATATATTGATTTCAGTTATGGCACAAGACCACAAATTGTGCGCTGCTCATTTTATATTTAGATTGGATTGAAAATATTTGCACTGTAAAAACAAAAGAAACGGTATTTTTCAATTCACCTTATACAAGTACTGTTGTGCAATCTCTTTATAATGAAAATCGAATGTGCAAATGTAGAATTATGTACAAAAATAAAATAAAAATTAAAAAAATAAAACAACGTAAAACACTAGTGCCTAAAGTCCACTTAGTTCTACTTCTTATTCAGCCAGTTGCTCAGGCGAACAAGCTTGGTTACAATTTGCAGACGATGATGCTGCCTGCTTCTTGTTTACAATATTACCTGAAAGGAGAACAGGCATTCATATGGTACTGGCATAGTTGGCAATGTGAGATATATATATGTGCCAGATGCTCTAAAGAGCTGCTCTCCAATCTTTTTATGCCCGAGCTCACTTTCTGAATTTAAGAGCAACCCAAGATCTACCTTGCCCTTTACCCAGGACCCCAACCCTTCCCTGAAGCCCCACTCCACTCACTCCATCCCCCTTCACTCTATCACTCGCTCTCTCCCAGACTCACTCACTTTCACTGGCTAGGGCATGGAGTTGGGATTCAGGAGGACATTCGGATTGCTGGCTTTGAGAGTGTGGCAGGGTTGGGGCAGGGGTTTGAGGTGCATAAGGGAGTTCAGAGTGCAGGAGAGAGTTGGGGTGCTAGCTCTGGGAAAGGGGATAGGTGGTGTAGGAAGAGGCTTGGAGTGCTTCCTCTAAGAGGGCGCTCAGGCCTGGGGTTTGGAGTGCAGGAGGGGGCACGGGGTGCTGGCTCTGGGAGGGGATCAGGCTGGGGTAGTGGATTAGGGTGCAAAGGGGATTTGAGGTACTGGCTCGGGGGGGGCTCAAGGCTGGAGCTTGCTGTGCAGGAAGCAATATGGGGTGCTGGCTCCAGAAGGGAGCTGGCAGTTGGCGTGTGGCCTCCCACCGTGTAACACTTATGACTCCTGGTCAGAGGTGCAGCAGGGCTCTGGCAGGCTCCCTGTCCACCCCAGCCCCATGCCACTCCCAGAAATAGCCAATGGGACTCTGGTACACTGCTCCACATGCTGCCTCTCTGCTGGCAGCACCCCCTGAGCTCCTGTTGACGAAAGTTCCCCCTTCCCAGCCAAACCGACCTTGCATTACTAACTAAAAAAGTGCCTTTCAAACTCCTATTCTCACTTTCAGGTGAAATTGTAAATAAGAAGCAGGCAGCGGTATCTCTGGTCGATGTAAACAAATTTATTTGTCTTAGCGAGTGGCAGAGCAAGAAATAGGTCTGAGTGGATTTGTAAGCTCTAAAGTTTTACATTGTTTGGGGTTTTTTGAGGGAAGTTATATAACAAAAAATATTTACTTTTGTAAGTTCCATTTTCATGATAAATAGATCACATTACCATACCTATATGAGGTGATTTGAATATATATTTTATATATATATATATATATATATATAATCCAAACATTTGAAATAAAAAACAATATAAAGTAAGCACTGTATACTTTTTATTCCGTGCTGTATTATAAATCAATATATTTCAACATGTAGAAACACATCCAAAATATTTAATACTTTTCTATTGGCATTCTAAAAGTTTACAGTGTGATTAAACATACTTAATTTTTTTGAGTTAATCGTGTGAGTTAACTGCAAATAATTGACAGCCCTAGTAGGAACTAATCCAAGGTGCTCAGCACTCTAGGGTGCAGGATTTAGCTGCTTACAGCTGGACCCTGGATTGGAACCCGCTGGAGAGGATGGACCCAGACTAGTTAGGCCTCAGCTGGAGTACTGTGTCCAGTTCTGGGCGCCACATTTCAAGAAAGATGTGGAGAAATTGGAAAGGGTACAGAGAAGAGCGACAAGAATGATTAAAGGTCTAGAGAACATGACCTATGAAGCCAGGCTTCATGAACTGGGCTTGTTTAGTTTGGAAAAAAGAAGATTAAAGGGGGACATGATAGCGGTTTTCAAATATCTAAAAGGGTGTCACAAGGAGGAAGGAGAAAATTTGTTCCTCTTGGTTTCTGAGGACAGGACAAGGAGTAATGGGCTTAAAGTACAGCAAGGGAGGTTTAGATTGGACATTAGGAAAAAATTCCTAACTGTCAGGGTGGTCAAATATTGGAATAAATTGCCAAGGGAGGTGGTGCTCAGCTCTCTGGAGATATTTAAGAACAGGTTAGATAGACATCTGTCAGGGATGGTGTAGACAGAGCTTGGTCCTGCCTTGAGGGCGGGGGGCTGGACTTGATGACCTCTCGAAGTCCCTTCCAGTTCTATGATTCCTCCACCAACAGCCAGGGAGGGACCAACTACAAAAGCCTATTCCTAGAGCTGAGAATCTAGATGAGGAAAGGTCCTAAGGTCACAAAACTCCAGACAATGAGTACCTGACCTAAGGGGAATGCCTGGGATCCTTGTTTAACCCAAAAGGCTACCATGTTGTTGGACTCTTTACATATACTCTGAAAGGAGTAGACTTGATCATGTGAGCTGGCCGGAAATCAGGATCAGATTTCTGGATCAAAAGTATTAAATTTTGTAGGGCCCCCTGGGGGGGCTAAAGATTAGAGGTTCAGAGTATGGGAGAGGGCTGTGAGTTGAGGCCCAAGGCAGGATGTAGGAAGGGTGAGACTTCTCACTGGCAGTGCATGCTTTGGGGTGGGGCTGGAGATTAGATGTTTAGGATGCACTAGTAGGTTCCAGGATGGGGGCCCAGGGATTTGGGGTGCAGGAGGAGCTCGGGGCAGGAGGTAGGGGTTGGGGTCTAGCTGGGATTTAGGATCTGGAAGGGGGCTCAGGACAAGAGATTGGGGTGGGGGTGCTGGTTTGGGCATGAGTTAAGGTGCGGGAGGTAGCTAAGGTCTGGGACAGGGGGTAGGGGCACAGGGCACTTACCTGGGGCAGCTCCTCTTTGATGGTGCAGACCCAGGGGAGAAAGGAGGCAGGTGGCTCTGTCCACTGCCCTGTGCTTACCTTCAGGCACCACCTCTTGCAACTCCCATTGGCCATGAGGGAAAGAACTGCAGCATGTGGAGCCGCATCCACACTCCCACACCAGGCAGGACCAGAACATGGGATCTTTAATGGATGTAGCCCAGGGCCCTTGGCTAAAGGGGCCCCACAAATACATCTGCACTTTTGGTGGCCTAGAGATCTTTTTGTGAGGCCCCCATTAGCTTGGAGCCCGGGTTATACCCCCAATACCTCTTTCTTAATATGGCTCTGCTGGAGAGCTGAATATATAGATCTTCTAAGGCAGGAACAGCTGTAAAAAGGGGAGTTCCTAGAAAGAAAAAAGCCTGGCCTTCCCCCACCTGACCACTGGGCAGAACTGGCAGTGAGGGTTTCTCTTCACAAGTTCCCTTTCAATCACTCATCACATGCATCTATGCTTAGATAGGAGGTAATGTTGTTAGAAATGTCGGAGCCATAAGCTATGTCTAGACTAGGGGAATGCATCTGCTCTTCCACTTTTTTTTGTGGAAGAGCAGACATGCTCTTTCAGAAGCCCTGTCCTTCCACGAAGAAAAAGGGCTAGATGGGCCAAATTTTGAAAAAGCCTCCTCTAAAAAACTGTTGGAAAATTTGGCAGAGTGCAATTTGCGTACCTTTTTCCGATAAAGCCCCATAGTGTAGACATAGCCTGAGAGAACTGAGGTGGGTGGGGAAAAAAGACTGAAGTAGGCAGTGCAAAGAAATATATCTGAATTTAAAATCATGTTTGAGTCATTTAACTTTATTGTGTGAAAAAAACATAAATGGGAAGATTAGAGAGTAAATTATTTGTATTTAAATTTCTATTCCGATTTCTTCAAGCATCTTTGTTAAAAAGAGCTTTTACAAATGGCTGGGTTGCAGATAAGATTTAAACTTTATATGATTTTAATGCTTTTATACTGTCTTGAGAGCTATCAATACCATATAAGTCCAGAAATAAACGATTTCTCAATGTCCAAAGAGATGCTGTCACACAAAGTGTTGAATGCTGTCCTGAATGCTGTTCTGAGAAGAAGATGTTATATTCTTTGGGGGGAAATATTTGAAGACTAAAGATCTTGCTGTATGCAGTTCTGGAGGTTTGTGAGAAAATTTGAAAGCTGGTAGAAATTCTCAGCAAAATTAAGCAGACTCTTCCAAGGAGGAGGATGTAATGTGTTTGTATTACCAAAGATCTCAAAACTAAAACTAGTTAGAAAAAAATGGCGGAGGGGGAGGAGGTACTCCAGTCTCCATCAATTGATATTGTCATTTTACTTTTTTCTCAGATTTCTTAATCAGTGTTCTTGTAGTTAACTCCTTTCTTTCCTCTCCTCAACTACTATACCTGTTCATTTTATAAATCTTCCTGAATGGAGAACAACCCCTTTCTAGTTTCTTCTTTGGTGAGAACTTGTATGTTCTTCCACCTAATTCAGCTAACTTGTTCTCCAGACATGCTCACCTGCTTAAAAGTGGATGAGAAAACAAATAAAAAAAATAGGAGCTACAGATAATAATTTCTGTTCAATTGATTTGTAATCTTGAGTATTATGGGATTGCTAATCTTCAGGATTACAAATCAACTAGACCAAATGTATAGCAAAATGAACAAGCCAAAGTCCAACAACAGACAGCACAATCAATTCACTGTTAATGGAGGTAAGTAAACAATCAACATGACCGTCATAACATTTTTATCATGCACTTGGTGGCCATGACCCAAAATGTGAAATGCCTTATGCTCACCCTGAAATTATTATCAATGTCTAGATACAGTAGTCGTTTGGTTGAGAGGTATTTGAAATTCTGTTCTGAATTAGGGTTGGTCGAAAAACTGTTCATCTCATTGCTTCTTTTTCAGATGAAAACTGGATGTGCAATTAAACAAAATGTTCTGCAAATCATCTGCTTTCTGTAGAAATTTTCAAATTTTTTTGTCAAAACTCAACCACTTGAAAACACAAAGCTTTGTCGGTTTTTGACTGAAAATCAAAATATTTCAGTATGGATATGCTACCTTCAGTACTGAAGGAGTTGGAGTTCTGTTGCCTTTTGTCACCATTTCTCCTCTGTTGGTCCATCCGCTACCTGAGCTGGGAGTGTGCTTCCCAGCTCAGGTACACAGACATGTCTTAGCCGTGCTCAAGCTAGTGCTCTAAAAATAGCAGTGTAGCCAGGACTAGCCACTTGAGCACAGTACTGCCGAGTGAGCTTGGAAGCACACCCCCAGCTGCAGCGTACCATACTTTCATGGTGCTCCTCTCCAAGATGGGAGAATGGCAGACTTATCATAAGAGATGTAGTCCAACGAGGAGCCCCATCTATAGAGAAGAATGAGGTAGATGAACTACAACTCCTATGAGGCAATTACAGCAGCATTTCCAAACAAAAATATTTCAATTTTTGGCTGAAATGTTTCCACTTTTTTATCTTTCACCAAAATGTGACTACTTCTGGAGAAGAAATGTGTGTGTGTGTGTGTGTGTGTGTGTGTGTGTGTGTGTGTGTGTGTGTGTGTGTGTGTATTCAGCCAGCTCTATTCTGAAGACATGCCTATATTAAGAAAATTGCTAGTAGTTGAAAATGGATGTCAGCGATTGATAGTTATCCTAGTGTAGAAAAAAATTAAGGGCCAAAATTCTGTTCTCGGGTACACTGGTGTAAATTCAGAGTAATTCCACTAATTTCAATGGAATTATTCCAAATTTATATAATTATAAATCAGGACAGAATTTGTACCTAACCCAGGAACAACCATCTGTGGGGCAACTAGCAAAATAAAGTGACAAGCCTATGCCTTTGTCTTGAATTTATTAAACCAAACATTTTACATAAACTAAGTAGTTTTTTGCATGTGAAATTGAAAGTATCATCATATCCAGGGAATTGTACTCCCCTGTTCCTCCAAGGCCATTATGGATAGATATGTGAGATACAAAAATGAATGCTACAAATAATTCAATCCATAGCAAGCAATCCCATGTTATTTAAACCTAGCTTTGTTGCTATGAAGACTCCAGGTGCTTTCTTCATCTCGTTATTCACTCAGAAAGAATCATGGTACAAGAAAGCCACAGAACACTTTAACTGAAAAGGTTAATAATAATTTAATAATCCTATTAAAATCCTTACCTGTACAAACACTTCATTATTAACTAAACAATTTTTTAAATCTATTTTATTTTTCATCACTTATGCTGTTTATTTCCTTCATTTCACTGGCTTTGGACAGAAGAACTAGACTGCTCTGCTCTGCCTCTTTCTTACCCATCTCTTTTATCCATCTCTTTTCTTCCACTTGCTGATTCTCCTAAGATCACATAATGCTTTGTGTGTTTTGGATTTCAGCATCGAAAGGAAATATTGAAATTATATCTCTGATCTAATGGTATACTAGACACTGTGACTAATATACTAAAAGAATGAACAAGTATTTATAATCCTAAATACAATAAAGAATATTTTCAGCATAATTTCAGCTTCCTGGCTGCCATTTCAAAAGTCTCATGTTTAGACTTATACACAGATGGAATGCAATTTCTGTATAGCAAATTTTCAGTCCCAAAGTTTCATAAACTAAGGTCAGAGTTCTGTGTATTTTTGAATGCCTTTCTGCACACACTACTACCAAAATTGTTCAAGCAGGACCTTTGCACACACAAGTGAGTAGATAATGATCATGTGCAAAGGCACAATTAGTGCAAGCAATTGCCACAAATATAAGCACAAAAGAATCACTGACTATGAAAACCACTCAGTTCTAACCTTTCTATAGTATTAACCCAAATTATTTTTAATACATATTTTCAGAAATTGTCAACAATATGATAAAGAGTGATAATAGGGTGATAATAGGAGATGAACAGTAGCTGTATAACAAATTAAAGACACAGAATTATTAGGAATAATAAAGATTGCTTAGGTGCACCACATGAATACTGACAGATACATACAGTGAAATATTTTATACATGTCAGGTTTGACATGAAAGCTTCTGTAGTTAAGCTAGAGATGTGAACAAGCTCTTTTTAGAAAAGAACTTACCTTGCACTGACTTTGCTGGTCTCTTTTCATAGCAACCCATGATGAGCTGCATTTCCTTATTCTCAATTTACTTCTCAGCAGGAGGTCCCATCTGAATCATCAGGAAAATGGCAGCCCCTGCTGAGACATAGCATCAGATCCCAGTCCCTGAATAGAGATACTTAAACAATGGCAGGTATTTCTAAATACCGGGCTCAAATTCATTTTTATGATCCATAGTCTTATTTAGCAAGACTAGCTAAGGGATTATGCCTAATTTTTGCGGTTTTCTGTTAAATAAAGAGACTTTTAATGGAAAGTTAAATGCTGGGTATGAAAACATGGCCATACGTAATTTGGGGCATTGGGGGCCGCAGGGATGCAAGGTGGTACTTAGCACTCATGGCAACTACCAAACTCATTTTGCCTCAGGGAGGCATAATGCCTCCAGGAGTACTGGGGGAGATTTGCACACGACCAAGGGGACTACTACAGCACACATTTTAAACAGGTTGCTGCATGTACTTTCTGCCTGCACTGTGCAGCTCACAGACTGGTGGTTTCTTCTTTACTTAGGGGTTTCTAGAGCTGGCTCCAGAACTAGACTCTCCCAGACTCAACTCAAGGCCTGGGACTATGGCTTTAAGGGAGAGCCAAGGGAAATCCTCCTTCTCTCTACCTCCCACACTAGTGCACCCACACAGGCCTAGACACAGCCCTTGTGTTTTACCATAACACAGCTGTTCCCCAAATGGGCTCAATAGCTGTTCTTAAAAGCAGTCAATTTCATAGTGTAAATGGCTCCTAAAATAGCTGGAACATTACGCTTTTGACTTTTATTCCTTCCTGCCTGGCTGCCAGACTCTTCTTTCTTCCCTTTTTGATGGATGAAGTAGAACCACTGCAATCTGTTGACTCAAAAACTAGAATTCTCTCTGAAATTGCTGTGTGCTCATTCATTCCTGTCACTGATGCTAGCTGAATTCACTGTGGAAGCAATGAAACAAATGCTTACCTGGTAATGTATTTGAATAAGTACATGGTATTGAGCCTAGCAGACTGAATCCATTTTACTTCTGAGGAGTGTTTTAAAGGTTTATAGACTTATCTTTTTGGCTCAATATCTGTAGCGGGCTCTCTTTTTTTCTCCCCTTTGTATTAACTCAGTTCCAGTCTGCAAACATTTTCCTTAGTCCGGAGTGTCTCTCCAGGCATGCCATTTTGTTGTATTGTGCAGAAAAGTTGGTATTCATAACCCTTCTGCCAGGTGTTGTCAGAAGCAAAAAGGGGTGGGTTCAAATATCAAGGGCTTCCTCTTAAACTAACAAATACCACTAGCTTGAGTTCCAACCCAAAAACCTGGAAAAAATGAAATACCTTCCCCGGGATCCCTTAACAGGCAATACTTACCCTGTACACAGGCTTAGCACTTTGGGAAAACAAAGAAAACTTTATTAAACCTGGGGGTGGGAGCGGTGAACCACAGCATTTGGGAAAACACGACACCAATAAATCAGCCATCTGTTGATTTGCATTCAGAGAGTATGTAAAACATCCCCACACACACAATACCTTGGGCAGGAGTCCTTTGCCTCAGTTTCCCCACCTACAAATATGAACAGCAGATGGACAAATATCCCTGTGTTACTTCACTTCCCCCCTTTCCTCTTTGGTGCACCCCACTTTGCATGTCAGTGGTTGGCGAAGTTCCGTAGCCCAGGGGTGCACGTGAACAGTTCCAGGTCCAGCCCCTAGGGCTAAGTGCAGAGTGGCTTCTGTGAAGAAAAACTTTCTCACTTCTCCTGCATTCTCTTGCTGTGCCACTGTCACTAGCCACAATGGCCTCTCTGAGAGGCCACTGTCTCATGCCACTGTCTCTATGCCGTCTCTCACCTCTAGCCACGAGGCCTGTTTCAGGTCTTCAGGTTTCTCACACATCTAGAGCATCTGCAGCTCTAGTGGCTCCAAGACAACTTCAGGACTGAGAGACTGCAAAAGTGGTTTAAAGCCACATCTGTGCATCTCTCCCCACCTTTCCTTCTGGGTTCTTCTTGAGTTAATAACTGGTACAACTTCCTATTTAAAGGGAGCATGTTTTGATGTTTTTCCTTAATGCTTTCTTGCGTGAAATTAAACTGGAACGCTGTTGTGACCTCTCCAACGGAAACAAACATTCATATTTTAAGATAAAAAGTTAATTAACTTGCAATAACCATATTTTTTTTTCAGGTATGTTATGATAACAATTCATTGGCATGCATTTGCAGAAGTATTGTCAGCAAGCCAGAAGAAGTAATTCTTCTCCGCTCCACGTTGATTAGGACTCAACTGGAGTACTCTGTCCAGTTCTGGGTGTCACATTACAGAAAACATGCAGATGAACTGGAGAAAATCCAGAGAAGAAACCAAAAATGATTGAAGGTCTAGAAAACATAACCTAGAATGGAAGATTGAAACTCCTGTGTCTGTCGAAGAGAGGACTGAGGGGGGAACATAACAGTTTTCAAGTACATAAAAAAGTGATACAAAGAGAAAAATTGTTCTTCTTAACCTCTGAAGATAGAAGCAATGTTTTTAAATTGCAGCAAGAAAGGTTTAGGCTGGACACTAGGGAAAACTTTCTAACTGGCAGGGGGATTAAGCGCTGCAATAAATTGGCGAAGGAAGTTGTGGCCTCTCCATCACTTGAGATTTTTGGAACAAACTATACAAGCATCTGTCAGGGATGGTCTAGATAACACTTAGTTCTGCCATGAGTGCAGGGGATTGGACTACATAAACTCTCAAGTCCCTTCCAGCCTTCCGATTCTATGATTCTCAGACAAAAATTATGCTCCAACTTGCCTAGAGAAAATAACTAGGGGTATGTCTACACTACCCTCCTAGTTCGAACTAGGAGGGTAATGTAGGCATACCGCACTTGCTAATGAAGCCCGGGATTTGAATTTCCCGGGCTTCATTAGCATAAGCGGGGAGCCGCCATTTTTAAATCGCGTACAGATAGTTCGGAATGGCTACGTAGTTCGAACTATCTAGCCCATGCCGCGTGTAGCCGTGTGGCACGGGGGGCGCCCC